TACCCTATTCACTATGAACACTTTATAGCAAAGCCTCACACTAGTCAACTCTGGAAAAACAAAAACTTGCTGATAGTGTTCTCCACAGTTCTTCTAATCCAGAGGTGAACTTCTCCTAATGTTCCAAAATGAGTTGAAAAATAAGTCATTAGATATAATAAAATTGTTATAACATGATACAAAAGCTAAAAGGGGGAAGAGAAAAAATTGGGAAAAAGAAAGAAAAGAATACAGAAAAAAATTCATGATAAGGTAGAAAGAAGAAAAGGATGGAGTGGGCATTTGAAGCTATAGCAGGTGACGTAAGACGGTTAGCAGGGATAAGAGGAGCAAGTACAAACCTGAGCTAAGAAACAAAAAAGAATGATTCCAATTAATAGTTCAAAAAAATAAAATAAATATGATCAAATCAAATACTAGGGTCACAATTATCAAATCAAACTGAAGAGTGATATTTACAAGATCAAAGTTGACATTAGAGCTATTAATAGTAAACCTTGCCAGGGTGAAGAAAATTCTCATTGAGTGTTTATGGAGAGCAGTGACTTGGACCATGGCCATTACTGCCTCAGAGCTATGGCTGCACTTTGCCCTGGGAACATTCTGTGCAAAGATGCAGGACAAGACTGCCCAGGAGCTATGGTAATGCCCTGCCTGAGGAAATTCTGTGCAAAAGCACAGAACTATATCAGTCTTGACCTTGAGCTCAGACACCAGCTGTCAGGGATAGAGAATTCTGAGCATAACAAGACAACCACAATGTCTTGCATACACTGTGACCTTCAAGCCTGCCTGCTTTGCAAAAACCCTGGACAATGGGCTTCCTGGGTGCAGCAGGATAATAACAGGATGTTCCTAGCACTGCAACTGTAGGATAGCTGCAAAAATGTTTCTACCTCTGTAACTTTTTCATGCACAAGGAAGCCTCTTGATGACTCACAAGCCTTGAACCATTTACAATGCCCCTACAGTTTATATATATATATATATATATATATATATATAGAGAGAGAGAGAGAGAGAGAGAGAGAGAGAGAGAGAGAGGGAGGGAGAGGGAGGGAGAGGGAGAGAGGGTGTCTCTGATTATGAGACCCTCTATAATAAACGTGTGTGCTAGCTCTGGGTCACTGCTCCTCAACCATAGGACATCAGAGGTCAGTGTCCCATCTGACCCCCGTTTTCTCTCTTTAAACATTTATGTATCTTTCTAATCTCCCATTGCCATTCGCCGGTTTGTAGGGTTTGGCAGGTTGTGGCATGTCTTGGTTTGGATTTCATCGGGATTTGGGACCTTTAGAAGATATCTGTCACTCTTTAGCTCTGCTGAACCCCAGAGTTGCTGGGGCACAGGAGCCACTATCCTGATTACCTTGGACTTCCCAGCAGCTGGGTTTGCTTTGTCATCCCAGGGCCTGAAGCTTGGAGGGTGTGGTGCTGTTGCAATTGTGCCCAGGAGCTCAGGATGCAGGGCTCTGGCTGTCACTCTGACTGCCACAGGTCACTGCACACCTGCTCCCCCCACAGGGTCCTCTTCAACTGACATAGAGCATGGTGGCTGTCTGCAAGCAAGGACCTGTGGTTGTGGGTTCTCCATGAGTGGTCTGTGGTGCAGAAGCATCCTCCTTGGCCAACAGAACCCCAGGAAATTGCCCCTGCTTCTGGATAAAGAAACCCAGCCACATCAACTGGACTGTAGCTCCCACTGCCCAAGGTTATGAACCAGGGTCCTGCTCCCCTGCACTGACTGAGATAGAGACCACATCCCGCCCATGTCCAAATGCCCATGGGCTGCTACCAGTGGTCACAGGTGCCATCCATCTCTGCTGCCTGAGACGGAGACAGCTGTCCCACCTTTGTCCAAGTTCCCTCTGGGTTGTGACAGTGATGCAGGTGACATTTCTCTCCTCACTCAGGACAGAGGCTGTCTTCCTAATGGATCTGAGCTCCTTGCCTACTGCTGTGAATGTGAATCCCTGTGTCTGAGCTCCTCTCTGCCCTGGTTGTGCGCTGTGGGTTAGACCAGCACTTTCTGCGTGGGGCTGTTCCTGCCCACTCCCCTTGTCCACGTGGGGGTGCAGTGACTTTAGCGACCATAGCTACCCTCTACAAGTTTGTCATAGTTGGATCAGTGAGCTACAGGGGCTATTTGACAGCTGCTCTCCCAAAGTGGGAGGCGCAGTTGACTTAAGTTCTCCTCAGGCAGCAGGCCAGATGCGGGATCCAGGGGATGGCTGCCTGTGGGGCTGGGCTGTCTGTCCATGATTGGGTGGAACTGCTTGATCTCTTTCTGTGCCTCCTGCTCCTCCCACACTTACCTTGACCTGCCTTCTCCAGCTGCGGTGGGGAGGGAGTGACGGGCTTCTCCCCTCTCCTTGTCCAGGTTTGGGGCTGGGGAACTCCGTCCTCATTTTCTGTTCCAGGATCCCAACTTCAAGCCCTACCCCACCCCAGGCCTCAGAATGTCTACTACTGGGCCTTGGGCCTTTGCTCTGTCACCCATCTTCCTGGCCAGCTGTTCCTCACTACCCCTGGGGAGGGTTGGGGTCACCACTGTACCTTCTTCCCAGACTGTCCTTTACTTTGAGAATCTGAACACACTGTGTTGACAGGTACTGTTTGGATTAAGCAAGCTTGCTGGTCCTTCCCCTTCCTGTACCCTGTGGCACCTGAGGAAAGGGAGGTCAGTGGAACATCATAATCCTGAGCTGGCCCTCTCAGTTCCCCTAGCCAAGCCAAGGGACCACAGAGAGCACCCAGGTGGGGAGGTCACCTTGGGATCGATGGGGTCTTGAAGGGTCCTGGCTTTCCGGCTTGCACATTGAGGACAGGGACAGCTAACATGATATGCACAGGGTAGATCTGTGCAGGTATGCCAGTGGGCTGCCGGTCACACAAGGACACAGAGGACACAGCACACCAAGCAATCTGCTGCTGCTGATGTCCCTGCTCCCACAACCCAGCTTACAAAGCCCTCTCCCAGTGATGACTGGAGCTGAGCTGAGAGCACTGTGGAAAGGACATGCTCATCTGACCTGCCACCACCAGATAGCCACTAGGGAGAGGGCAATGCCTGGTGACCTGTCACCTTCAGACAGATTGCCACCAGAGAGGGGGTGCTGCCTGGAGAAGCACACTGAGGGCTTGTCACCTCCAGACACTCTGTCACCAGGGAGGGGGCGCTGCCTGATGAAGCACTGAGGAGTGGAGGTGCCATTGCTCAGCCTGTTGCCAACAGCTCTTCTCAATGAAGCCTGGGCCCCCAACTTACTCTGGGTCATTTCCTTGGTCTCCTGGAAACCGATCCCTCTGTCACAGCACAGCTGGACTGTGGACACAATACCTGATGTTCACATCTACTTCCAGGTGCAGTTTTCTGTTCTCATTGAGTGGACAATGTGCTATATCACTCCCCAGCTCCCCTGAAGTCATCAGCCCTTGGGCTGGCACATTGCACACTGTGCGAGCCCGGGGTATCATCTTTATTCCTCCTTACTCAAGCTTACCTCTCCTCTTCTCACTCCTGCTTAACTCCATCTCCTTACTCATGCTTACCTCTCCCATCCATATGCCTTCTTACCTTTCCACTCCTCACTCCTGCTTACCTCCCCTCTCCATACTCCTGCTCCCCTCTTCTCTCCTTACTCCTGTTTACCTCCTCTCTCCTTACTCCTGCTTCCCTCTTCTCTACTTATTCCTGCTTACCTCTCCACTCCTTACTCCTGCTTACCCGCCTCTCCTTACTCCTCTCCTTACTCCTGCTTACCTCCCGTATGCTTACTTCTGCTTACCTCTCCTCTCCTTACTCCTGCTCATTGGGCTGTTTCCCCACCCTTTCAGACCATGGAGCTGCTCATTGAGGGACTTTTTTTGTCTCCGCCCACGCGACCCAGCCAATCGGCCTCAAGAGCAGGAGGAGTGGGGGTGCTGAGAGGCTTGTGGGAAGCCAGTGGTGGCAGTTGGGTTCTGAGGGAAATCCTGAAGAGCTCATGTGGTATGGCATGTGTTCTAAAAATAAAGTTCATTTCTGCTTGATAAGTGGCTCCTGAATTGTGCCCAGCCAGACTGCGGCATTTGGTGGCCCATACGGGGAACAAACACGGGACCTTGGCGTTATCAGCACCAAGCTCTACCTTTTGAGCTGATTGTTTGGGTACTAAAAATGTAAAAGTTTGATCAGGTGTAACCATTATTTGACCCATCAGTGAAAATATTTGGAGCATTCATGATAGGTGTTTTTCTTGTCATTTTTGGAAAAATTACAGGATGCAATGACCACAAAGACAATAAAGGATTAGATGGTAAGTGGTTATCAAATGAAACATTAGATTTGCACATGATTATTGCCCAAGTATTTAACTCATTAGCTAACTCATCAATTTGATCCATATGAGCATCACTGCAGAGGAGCCAATCAGCTGGCAGCTGGAAGTTTGCTGGGGCCACTGTGAGCCAATCATCAGCTGGCAGCTGGAAGTTTGCTGGGGCCCCTTCGGCTGTGGCTCTCAACATCTCCTCCTCTCTGTTTAAACAACAAGCATGTGGCTTAGGGACCGTGCCTGCCTTAGGTTGTCCAACACTGCATATGGTCCTTACCCATCATTGGATGAGCTGACCTTAAGGCGTCGGCCTCCTGTCTTAGGTTGGTACCATTGCAATTGGATCTTACCTGTCATTGACTACCGGTCCAGTATACAGCCACACCTGTGGATAGGTCTTTGTACCAGCGGGGGGGTGAGGTTCTTTGCCTCACCTCTGTTGGCCCCCAAATTTTAGCTGAATGACCATCACAAGCAGAAGGGAGGAGGATACACCAAGCCAATTGACTTGGAAAAATTGTACCACTGAAGACACCATCAGCAAAAATATCCCAACACTACCACAAGTCGCTGCACCAACAGATAGTTCACAATGCATACAAGTGATTTCACAATGCATACAAGTGATACATAGTCCAGGCAAGTTCTGCAAGCAGTTCAGTGATAGCTATTGCAGAAGCTTTAGATTGGTTTTATCTTTGTAATTATGTAACATTCCAGAAGGCACTAAAAGAAAACAATTTTCTGAACAATTTACATTATCTTGAACAGAATTATTAAATATAATGAAAAGGAAAGGTGAAAGTAAACAAATAGATCTGTTAACCTCCTTTTTTATTCACATATTAAAACAATCCTCAACAGCTGTTTACCCAATTTAAATTAAACCATTTAAATCACGTGAATAAAAAAATATTTGGATCCATTTTTTCATGAGCGCTCATCATATATGATATATGGACATACGTACATACAAACATACAACACAAAACACAAGTGCGCACACATAATATAATACATACAACACATAACATAATAGTAAAGGCCTTATAACTTTTTACAGGTGAAATCTCCATTGCAATGTTTAAAAACTCTGTAGTCAAAAAATAGAACTGATCAGCAAAACATTAACCTAGGTCTGTATGAGCTCAAAAAACAAAATAGAACTTCATGATGTGGGAAATGGCAGTAATAAAATAGATATTGAAAAAGACATCCTGGTTCTGTCACAGATGTAAGGATAGCCAAACTGGAGTTCTGGATATCAGCTGTTATGGATTTGAGCCAAATCATCTTCTTTTTGGTCTGTAGAAATCGATTTAGTTAATCTCTCTGGAATCCAAATCGGCTGCTGTTCTCCCTGTGGAAACACACAAACAGACCCCCAACTCCAGACAATTCCTGGGTCAGGACCTTTCCATTGTCCTGTTAGAATATCCTTCCAAAGTACCTTGGGCTTATGTACATTTTTTGGACACATATGCCTTTCTGCAGCACTAAGCCCTGATGAATCCAAATTTAAAAAGTTTAGAGTAAAAAGGGTTATTTTAAGTTTATCTTTGGGGAATATATACCCCTTCCCAATTCCCTCTTTTTGCTTTAATAAGTACATTTTAATAGTTTGATGAGCTCTTTCAACTATGCCTTGTCCCTGTGGATTGTATGGGATTTCTGTTGTATGAGTAATGCCAAATGATGAGCAAAATTGTTTAAAAGAGGTAGAAGTATAACCAGGGGCATTATCTGTTTTTAACTGTTTTGGAACGCCCACAGTGGCAAAATTTTGTAAGCAATGAGCTATAATATCTTTAGTTTTTTCTCCGGCATGAAGGGAGCCCATCAAAAATCCAGAAGAAGTATCAACTGTAACATGCAAATATTTTAATTTTCCAAATTCTGGCAAGTGTGTGATGTCCATCTGCCAAATATGGTTAGGTATCAGTCCTCTAGGATTGACTCCAAGATTAACTTGTGGTAAAATGTCACACAATTTTGACATTGTTTTATTATGTGTCTAGCTTGTTCCTTAGTTATTTTAAAACACTTTTGTAAAGTATTAGCATTGACATGGAACTTTTTATGAAAATTTGTAGCTTCTTCTAGTGTAGAGAAAATATGTATGTCATGTGTAGTTTTATCTGCTAAATCATTGCCCAAACTAAGGGCTCCAGGCAATCCTGTATGTGCCCTGATATGTCCTATAAAGAATGGATCTTGAACAGATGTCTGAAATTTTTTGATATTGTCTTGGAGTTGGCTATGTTTCCTCAAAACAGCCAGTTTGAATTCTTGCTCTGGGACATCCACACCCATCTCCAGCTGATGAGGAGCAGCCACTAGGTCTTTAGCCAGATTCTGGTGCCCTATTTGCTCTCCCCCTCCTGTTTTTTCCCGTAGAGGAGATTGAACCCTGTTGTGGTTTACCACTGAGCCACATCCCCCATCCTTGTTATTGTTATTGTTTTATATTTTGAGACAGTGACTCGGCTGGCTTTGAACCTGCACCTTCCTGCCTCAGCCTCCTGGTTCACTGTGATCACCAGCCTACCTCACTGCACCTGGCTGCTCTCATCTTTAAGGGTGTGTGTCTGGGTCTTCACTGCGGAACTTGGCATTAATACTCGTCTCCGCCACCTCTTTCTACTTGTGTCTTCGAGGGGGTCTGTCATGGCCTTGTGCAGACTGTGGGCTTCTCGACTTGGGGGTGTTGCTCTTCTTGGCACTATTGGTGTGCTTAGCCCAGGTCTGCTGCTGATGCAGGGATCTTGAACCCTGCAGAACTTTCTCTTGGGCAGGAGGTAGAAATCGCTGGGTCCCAGGAATCCAGGGTAGCTCTTCCCTAGTGGGATCACCTAGGATGCTCCCTGAGACTAGCACTTTCCTGCGTTTCCCTCCAGTCTGGACCCTGCAGATCCCGCAGACTCAGCCTTCCTGGAAGGGCCCTTGTAGGTCAGCAGGCTTCTTGCCATCAGCTTCAAGTTCTAAAACTATTGCTGTAATTTAGTGCATCACCTCCAGTACAATGTAAATTTCCTGGCTCTGGTGGTTATTTTATGGTTGTGTAAAATGTCAATATTAACAGAAATTGGAAACCTACTGTTCAAATCCTACCACTTTTCTGCATATCTGAGAGTGGTTCAAAATAAAAGTTAATAAAGTTTAGAGTTGTGTTTCTCTGCCATGAAGAGTGTGTGGTGGTTGAAGACCGGCGGGCTCCAGAGGGCTGGTCGTGTACTATTTCTTGACCTGGGTCATTTCATGAATGTGGTGCTCACTGAGCAGTAGGTTTGTTTTGGCATGTCTGCGTGCTATGTCCCACCACACGAGAACAAGTCAACACAACTCATCACATACTCAGTTGGCTCATAAGGCCTGCTGCCACGTCTGCCACTGTGTGGAGTCACTTACCTCCGAAGAATGCAAAATGCATGTTCCCAGGCAAATAGCTCCCTTTGTTGTAGCACCTGGGGTAACTTTTTTTTCTTTAAACTTTTTTTCTTTACAAGATTAGATGAAGCAGTTTGATTAAGAAAAAATATTTATATCTGTACATTTCTCTCGTATTAATTTTAGGAATATATCTGATAAAAATAAGAAAGAAAATACTTATGCAAATTTCTATTTGGCAGTAAATAGTACAGAGTTCTCATGTGACTCGTTTTCTTTTATTGATGTTTCTGGAGCAATTGCAGAATGGAAACTTGTGCCTGTCACTCAGGGCGGGCATCACGAGGGGCCAACTGCACATGAGTGACCTGCCCACATCCCCCAGGACTCACTCATCCAGACCAAGCACTGTGGCGGCATCCAGGATGGGAGAGTTGAGGCTTCTGGCCCTGATGCAGTCAGCAGTTATGACCCTTCCCAGGATGCGGCGTGTGTGTGCTGTGACGTCAGATGTGGCCTCTGCTGCCTCTGAGCACCTGCTAGTACTCACAGGCTCTCCCATTCCCCATCAGTGCTGCTCACCCATGGATTGGAGCTGCATATTTTGGTGGTGGCTGCACCCAGCACTCCAAGGTGATCCCAGGGCTCCCACCAGGGAAAGCATGGTTAAACTGTGAGGCGACTTCTCTTCCGTGTCATTTGTGGATTGGTAGGCTTCCCTTGCTACCACAAACATAGTCACAGAAAAGCAGCAGACATGTGGCGACTGTTTAGGAATTTTCATTTTGTCCATCTCCAGTAGCTAGGAGGCCCTGTGCCCGGTGGGAGGTTGCTGTGAACTCCACTGTGGGTGTTTTTCCCCAGAGAAAAGAACAGATGACTTCTTTACATTCCTACAGTACGAGGAATCAGTTGTTTTTGATATCTTGCCAAAAGGACCCAATGAGTGAAACATCCTGGTGCCAGAGTACCGGGCCAGAGGCCTGACCCTGGAGGTCCAAAAATCAGTTACCCAATCACCCAAAAATCCAAACGGGAATGGCCATGGTGACAAGCATGAAAGGGACTTTGATTAGTGCAGACACATGGGGAGGACGAGGGGACACAGGACCTCTGACCTTTTGAGTCAGAGTCTGGCTAAGTTGCTCAGTCTGGACTTGAGCTTGAGACCGTCCGGCCTCTCCTCCTGAGTCACGGGGGTTACAGGTGTGGCCATCCTACCCTGCAGCTGGAGGCTTTTCACAGCTGCCAAAGCAGGTGGTCTTAGTCAGGTGTGGTCTGTCCATGGTTACCTCAGCCCTGGCCAGGAGGGCCCTGCCCCAGATGAGGAAGCTGCTGTTGCCCAAGGGTGGCCTCCACTGTTCACTGACCTGTGGCTCCTGGACTCTAAGGAGACACAGAGCAAAGATGCAAAACAGGCAGAAGTGCTGAGCTTTGCCTCCTCCACTGACCCCCGCCAGGCCTGTGCAGGCAAAAGGGAAGGGTGTAAGCCCTCCCCACGGCCAAAATCCAGACCAGGTGAGTGCTCTTTTTTTATGAATTTTTTAATTTGTTTTAATTAGTAGATAGTAGAATGCATTTATGCACTTTGATATATTAATTGTAAGTAGACTTTGATGGCTGACAAAGCAGTCTAGGGGAGCCAGGCACATGGAGAGTAACCTCTGGAGGACCTGTCCTTGTGTTACTGAGTCTCTACGCCTTATCTGCAGCTACTTTCTGAGCAGGGGAGCAGTGGGCAAATACCCTCTCCAATGCCCCCAGGACATCCCTGTTTCTGAGACTGTAGATGAGAGGGTTAAGCATGGGTGTGACAATGGTATAGAAGGCGGACACTGCCTTGTCCTGTTCGGGTGTGTGGAATGACAGGGGCAGCACATATGTGTAGAAGGTAGCCCCGTAGAAAATGCTGACCACAGTCAGGTGGGATGAACACGTGGTGAAGGCCTTTTTGCGGCCCTCAGCAGAGCGCATGCGGTGGACAGTGAGCAAGATGAGCGCATAGGAAGTGGAGATGATAGAGATGGGGATGAGCAGCATGAGGACGCAGCAGAGGTACATCAGGGTCTCATACAAGGACGTGTCAGCACAGGCCAGTTTGAGAACTGCAGGGATCTCACAGAAAAAATGGTTGATTTGGTGGGAGCCACAGTAAGGGACATTCATGGTGATGGGCGTGAGCAGAAAGCCATCAAGTGAGCCCCCAAACCAGGCACCAGCAGCCAGCAGAAGACACATCTTGCGGTTCATGAGAACTGGGTACCTAAGAGGGTTGCAGATAGCCACATAACGGTCATAGGCCATGAGGCCCAGCAGGAAGAACTCTGAACCAGCCGTGGTCGAGTACAGGAAGATCTGGATGCCACAGGACACAAAGGAAATGGTCCTCTCTGTAGAAACCATGTCCACCAGGAGCTTTGGGACAGTGGTACAGATGAAAAGGGTGTCCATGATGGACAGCTGGCTGAGCAGGAAGTACATGGGGGTGTGGAGGCGGGAGTCCACCTGAATCAAGACTGTCATGACCACATTTGCAGTGACAGCCACCACGAAAATGGCAAAGATGACCGTGAAAACAATCCCCGTGGCCTCCGCACTCACCAGAAGCCCCAAGAGAACAAAGTCGGAGGTAGACGTTCTGTTTCCTGTTGACATTGCCAGTGGCAGCTCCAGGGGATCAGGGACACCTCAGGACCAGGAGGAAGGGTGGGAAGAGCCAGGTCAGGATGGGGACACCACTCTGCACAGGGGCTGGCGTGGAGGGATTTTTCCAGGGCAGGAGCTGGAGAAAAACAAACCAGCAAACTTATCCCAGAGCAGCCGCAGAGGTGACCCTGTTTCTTCTTGGCAAGTGGCCCTCCTGGCACTGCCTGTGGTCACGCTGCTGTGTGCAGAGGATGGCGAGGGTAGATATCTCTGGCCCTGGAGCAGAGACTCACCGCGTCTGTTCTGCTCACTCTTTCTGCAATTCCCACAGCCAGAGCAGGACTAAGTGAATGCCACTGGAGAACATGACCGGCTGACTGATGGACTGACCGGCTGACGGTGAGTGAAATGAACAGCTGAGGACATGAAGGTGGGAACATGCGCAGGGCTTCCGGAATGGAGTGCCCGGGACGTTGGGTTCCTGTGTCTTACTGCAGGCACCTCAGCGGGGCTACCCTGCTCCACTGCACTGCCGCCCTCACCTCCTAGCACAGCTGTCTGCAAACAGCTTCCAGATCAAATTCTGAAAGACAGTTCTGATTCTGCCCCTGGGCTGCTGCCCTTTGCTGCTGTGGGCTTGGGAAACGGGCAAAGGAGGTTGAAAGCAGAATGTTGGCAGCTGGAAGCTGTCAGCGAGAGACTGAGGAGCAGGCGCCCCCAAGCTAGGAGTCTGTGGATGGTCCCCTGCCCTGAGGCAAGAGCTGAGCTGGGGTGGGGCCGCACTGGGTAGGTATATAGAAGAGGACAGCAACCTGCCATAGTAGGAAGGGACTTTCATCCCTAAAGATTTATTTAAAAAAGAGAAAAAGAGCATACATAAAGTCCCTTCCCCAGGGGTTGGCACCAGCAGCCTGAGAATCACATATTTATGCACATGAAAATGAGGCCCAGCAGGTGGGTGCCAGGTGACGCTGCTGTTGGGTTTTGTCCATTCACAAATGGCAGCCAGACAACCTCAGCTCACTCGCTAGGGGTGCCAGATCTAGTAGACAAGAACACAGGGTGCCAGTTCTATGTCTTAATCATCACAATTTTTGTTGTATTATAAGTTTGTGATATAGTTAAATTTTAAAAAATCCCCATTATCTGAAATTCACATCTATCTGTTTGTACTTACCTGATTTCACAAAGATTCAAGAATTGAAATAACAGTGAGAAGTCACCAACAGTATAGGTAAAACTTAATGGAAACTAACACAAAAATGGAGATTCTAACATTAAAATTAGATTGTCTTTCTCAAAATTTTCCTCCGATTTATTTGTTCAAATTATCTGCAAGTAGCTCACATCTATGGCCTCTTTTGTCAGGCCTCCTAGGAGGACCTTGTGGCCAAAGCTCTGAGAAGTCCTGCCAGTGAGTCCTTAGCCTCTTGATCCATTCATGTAAATTCAATTCCATTTCCAAAGGACAGGTGAAAATATTGTCTATGATGTTTTTATTAAAATCCATTAATAGATTAGAGATATTCTATTTTTTACTCCAAGAACTTCCTATAAAGCTAATCCACACTAAGGCCGCAAGAATATATCTTCTCTTTGTTGCATTAATAGAACTCAAACATTTTATCCGAAAGCATAAACTAGTTCAAGTGAAGAATCCACATTTCTCTCCTATGCACAGCTAGTGGGCTGGACCAATGCATGGTCTTTAAACTGGGTTGTCCAGGAGGTTTCTCACATCCTCTCTGCTCTCCCTGTGTCCCCCTCCAGCACAGCACCAAAGTGACCCTGGGGGACCCCCTCACACCAGGTCACTCTCTGCTGAAGCCTGTACTTCCTTTTTGTCCCATTCAGGGCCATCCTCTTCTGACTCTTACCCCAAAGTCCTTGCTGCCCCCTGCAGTGTGCTGGTCACAGAACTGCAGGCCTGTGGTCACCTTGCTGGTCCTCTGAACCCTCTCAGGGGTCCCAGGGCAGGACCTCAGTCCCATCTCCCCTTGCCCAGGCCCCTCTGTCTAAGCCGGCCATCCCCATATATGTGTTAGGGGTTGGGACAAAAGCCACCTTCTCGGTGGGTGGCTCTGGTCCCACTCGGTGCCTTTGTATTTCTTCACAGTCCTTGGCACCCCCTGATGGACTACAGGTTTATTTTCCTGTGTTTGACTCTTGGTTCCGGAAAGTGAGCCCCATGCGGGTGAGGATCAGACCCTAGTTTTGAAATTGCTCTAGCCATCTAAAAAGAATGACTGGCATGTCGTAAATACGTGTTAAATACATCATCAAATAGATGGCTTTTAAACACATCAGTTGATGAAATGCAGATGGCTCACCTCTTGTGCTTTTTAATGGCACACTTCTAGAAGTCCTCAGAAGTCATTCAAAGTTTGATTTATGAAATGTACTGAAGAGAAAGCCTTTTTCAAAATGCAGTCCTTTGTGTTTATCCTCACTCCAAAATAAAATTAAATAAAGTAGGATCCACCTACATTTTCTAAAAAAAAAAACTCGGTTCTAGAAAATAAAAAGAAATCACCAGTTTCTGAAGTGGAGCAATAATAATTAGCTTTTATGTCAGTGACATTTATATTTTCAAGTTTGAAACAATTACTTCCTGAGACTTAAAATCAGGTTACTGGGTTAAAGAGCCACTAAGATGTGAGCAAAATCTTTAACAGAAGGGGTCCCTGGGCTGAAGTGTGGCTTCATGGTAGAACATGTGCCTGGTGGGTTCAGTCCCCTGCACTGAAATCAACCAAGGAGAAGAGTCACTCACCACTTCTCTGTTTCTGAATCTTCCCTTGCTATGATGTCTCTTCATTCACTTAGGTGCCAACCATTGTAAAAAGATGTCTGAAGTCTCAAGTGATTTCATACACCCAGAGCTTATGTTGTAGGTGCTAACAATATGGTTTGAATTCACCCTATGTTAAACAGATAAAAAGACAAAAAATCAGTATGCGTGGTTTGTCTTAGCACCAAGTTTTCATCTGCCTCTCATCAGAAAAATGGTGTCTTAAAAATGCCACCAGGTTTATTATTAGTTTGTTACTTTATTGAATTTAATAAAGCTCTAATAGTCTTAGCTAGTGTTGAATAAAATCAATTGTAGGCAGAATAATTCCCTCCAACATACAAGCACCCTAAACCCTGGAACCCATCAATGTACTTCCTTATGTGGCAAAACAAAAATAAAAAACATTGCCAACATTATTAATGTGAAGACTGAGATGAGATTGCTCTGGATTATGTAATCACACAGGCTTCATAAAGAAGGAGTGGGCAGAGAGTCAAAGGCACCAGGCACAGGAAGCAGACTCCAGTGATCTGCCCCTGGCTTTGAAGCCCTGCAGGACCACCCTCCCAGACTGAGGCGACCTCTGAGAAACGGGAAACCCAGAGGCCACCTGTCCCCAAATCCTGCATGAGGAAACACAGCCCTCCAGATGCTAGCGCATCCAGCGCTGACCTCCAAAACTGGGACACAGTATAAACCGAGTTTGAGGCCACCCAGATACAACAGCCATAGGGAACCAATGAGCCAATAGATGATTGCCTCCGTTTGTTAAATCAAGTCACTTCCAGTGCACTTGCCAACACTCACGGTCCCTATGCTTGTGTTCTACAGCCACTGTTCAGACAGCCACAGGGCCCTTGCTACAGCTGGGGAAACTGAGGCGCAGGGCCGTGGGCATCATCCTCCCAGGTCTCTGCTTCACACAGACTGTTCCGGAAGACTCAGAGCCTTCTCTGCATGAGTTAAGTTTACAACCAGCCAAGAAAAGTTAAAGCAAGCGTCAAGGCTGAAATCACTCTCAAGGAAAATGTGAATTTCTAATCAAAAGTAGTCAATGAGGTAATAAAACAACAGAATAAAGCTGATTTCTCCCCAGAAATTCACAAGTCTCCCTGGCTCCCAGGCAAGCCCCCCTTGTCAAACGCCCAAAGATGCCTGGCTAAGCTCCCTGAGAAGGATTCTGCACAACTCCGTCTCTAACCCTTGCCAGGGCTTCAGCGCACAGGGAACCTTAACCCCCCAACAAAGCGAAGAGCACCCACCCCCAGGGCTCACCCCAGCCCTTCGCCAGCCTCTCCACCATGCGGGCATGCTGCAAGCTACCCGGTCCCATGGCAAAGGAACCACGTGTCAGCAGGAATTACCCCAAATGGGAAGGAGACCTGTTTTCCTCCTTAAACAGCCTTTGGAAAACCCTTCAAGGGAAATGGCCACCTGTGTGAGCTGAATCCAGTGTCCTCACACGATACCTGTCTGGTCCTAGCAGCGCACCACACCGCTCTCTCCAACAGGCTTCCTGAGCGTGTGGGTGCTCAGAGGTGCAGACCAGCTCCCCACCCTGGGCATGGACAGCAGTTACAGAGGACTCGTTCAGTCTGATGATTCACTGCTGGGCTGACCTCAGTCTCCTAAGCGTCACATCTTGGGGGAGTGAGGGACATGGGCCTCCTTTGCTGCCGGGTGGTCTCCTCAGCCCCTCCAGGGGAGTCATGGACACAGCCCTGGGCTCTCCCCCAGCACTGTCTGCCACTACTGGCCTGGTGCCACCTCCTGTCCTCTCCACCATGTGCCCTGTGAGGCCATCAGTGGAGGGTGGCCATGGGCACAGTCTGGCACCTGAGGCCATTCCTCCCCAGAGCAGAAGCACGAGGAGTTTGCTCAGCAAGACGCTGGGAAGCAGGGGTGCTTGTTCCTCTGCTGCAGAGGCCCAGGTGCAGGGTGGAGAGGCTGCAGCAGAAGTGGGTCCTGCAGTCTGGCCAGCTTGAGCCCCAGCGAGAGCAGGACTGTGTCAACATTGGGGACCAAGGGGGGACATGCAAAGATTGCTGGTAGGAGTGGGCACTGAGTCAGTCTAAAAACCTGAAAGACATGAGCATAAATTTCACTAGGAAATTTTAATACGGAGATAATCAGGTGAGTGGCAGCTTGTTCTATTAAAAACTCCTCTTGGCGTTATTTCCAAAAAGAAAGCCAGGAGACTGAGCATCGTTGGCTGCACCCACACTGAATCACTTAGGCTTCAGCACATCACGGTGCTCCACGGTGCCATTGTGACACGAGGGAGGTCTCCACATCCCCATGGTTTGACAGTTTCATTGTGCTTGTAAGAGAAAAGGGTGGCATGTGTGCGTACTTCATATCCACAGCCACATGGACACAGTCTAACACTCTCCATCTTCAGGCTGAGAGCACTCAGTACCTTCATGGCACATGTCATAGCTGATTTCTTAGAAATACTCAGTGTGCATTCTTTTCAAATGAGAACCGTTACTTGCAATCAACCCCGCCTTGGGTCAGAATGAGGTACCTTTTCTCCCTTTGAGGAGATTCTGTAGCTTGCCTGGGAGAAGGGAAAGCCTGTTTAGAAGCCTCAGCCTCGGCCCATCTTACCTGTGTTTAGAGAAGCCTCCTGCTTGCACCTCCCCAAAAGCACAGCCTGAGCCACGTGGAGCCCATGTCCCCTACAGCCCCCATCACCTGTCTGCTCCAAGGAGAAGCACCCCCTGGGAGGAACCTGGCCGAAGCCAGTGGTGTCCCTTCACCTGAAGTCACTTAAGAACTAGTAAAGTTGGACAGAAGGTAACTACAGTTCTTAGCTTTTAGCTCAGCATACAGTTCTATGTGAATGGCCTGGAAAAATTTTTAAAAATATATTAACTTGAGATTTGTATGCCAGAGTACCATGCCTTCTAAATGAAATAGATTCCACTCATTCATTATCCCAATATTTACTGAAAACATATTTTATGTCAGGAAAATTTCTAGGTGTTTGGGATGCAGAACAAAATGAACATCCTATTTTGGTTACATGATAAATAAAATTTAATAAAGTCAAATCACCTCAAAGGGCTGATCAAAGAAACAAAAGAAAACAATCTATGATAATCAGAGCTGATGCTGCAGATGTTTACCTATTTATTGTCTTGATACCAACAGCTAGTTAAAACAAACTCTCGGTATTTTCTTAGCCTTTGAATCTCTATAATTTCGAATTAAGCTCAAGGATGGGATGTTTGTAGAAGCAAAGGTTCAGGTATGTCCCTATCTCTCACCTGCACCAAGACCCCACAGGGCATCCTGTTAGCCTCCCGATGGTGGTCAGCTCCTGGGTAGAAGAGTTTAGCTGGCATCCAAGAGGAAATAACATGGCTTTTATCTGCATGTTGCTCCTCAGGGAACTTTGTCCTCAGGACCTTGTGCAGGTTAACAAGCTGGCAGACACAGCTGTCTGTCAATCATTATAAAGGTTGGTACCAAGACACCCGACCATGGGTTCTGAGACCCATCCACCTCTTGCTTGAGTGAGCCAATAATTTATTCTGAACACCAGCTTCTGAATCTCTCAGGGGAGGTGACTTTATTTAAATACTTCATAGGAAGCCAGTTTGGTGACGCATACCTATAATTCCAGCCATTCAGCAGGCGGAAGCAGAAGGATCCAAAGTTGGAGCCCAGGCTGGGCAACTTACCAAGACGCTGTCTCAAAAAAATGAAAAAATAAATTTTGAAAAAGGGGGTTTCTGGGGATCTAGTTCAGTGGTAGAACACCCCTGGGTTCAATCCCCAGTACCAATAAAATAAAATTTTAAAATAAATAAATACTTCACAGGCCTTTGTAAGGATCAGAATCAAAATCAGATATCATAATTGAGCTTTTTTTTTTTTCCCCCGTGGGTAACTATCTTTATCTCTCCTTCTTCATCTGCCTCAGCTCCTCATGCTGGGAGTGTGCAATCACTAACACTAAAGGTGATATTAAAGGTGTTATAATTTAAAGTGTTTATCCTCAGGTTATATATTATTTTAATAAAGGAGAATCTGGCAACCACAAACTACCTGGCTCAGGAGCTTGGTGACTCCCTCCTAAGGAAGGACCCTCAGTGAGGGGAATGAGCGGCCACCTATATATGAGGAAATATGAAATTTTTATCAATCGTATCATAGGGAGCCTATTAGCCAGAGGAGGAGGGCTTTCTTGTAGCCTCAGGTACTTGGAGGCTGAAGCAGGATACCTGAGCCCAGGAGTTCAAGGGCAAATACTTCAATTATTCCTCCATCTCCTGCACAGCTTGCGGCCACAGTGATTCCCTTGCGCCTGCACACACCGGGGTGTGCAGATCAGCCACAGGGCCCGTGATCCCACTGTGCGCACATCGGTCGACCACGGTGGCCGCTCCCCTTGTGCAGGGCAGCTGACCTAGGCAGGAGGGCGCCCTGGGGGGTTGAGGGAAGGCGGCTGGCCCTGCAGCCCTGGGAGACCTAGGGCGCACACTGGCTTTCCGCAAGGAGCGCTCCCCTGCGGTTTAAACCAGGGAAACCACACGCCTTCCTCCACCACACCTGCAGGCAGTGCCTCCCTACCCAAGGGCACGGTGTCTGTCTGGGCCTGGCTCCTGCCGGTGTGAGCAGATGGTTTGCCTTCCTCCATCTCTGCCCTTATCAAACACATTCACATCTGTCCACAGTGTCAGAATTTACTGAATAACTATGAATTCACAGGCTACCCCGCTTTTGGCAGTAGTAGGTCACTGGATACTCGTGGGTCACCTGGTAGTCACAAGCTGGGCAATTGTGAGTTGTTTCATTCCAGTCTTAACTACTAATGTCTGAAACACTCAAATCACTCATCACACTTCACACAATGATAAACAGAGGTGACAGAAAGGATAAGAGAGGGTTAAGGTGGCCACAGGGGTCCAGGAGGCTGAGCTGAGAGCAAAGGCAGAGGGCAGATACAGATGCAAAGAGTCACCACAGGTGGTCAGGTAAGATTAGGAACTAGCCAAGAACTTGTTCAGGCACAGAGCTGTGAAGCCCAGAGCTTATTCTAGGCCAGGGTTCACAGGGCAGAGGTTCCACAGGGCCCACTGGAGATGTCAGCTTGGAGTGGGTTGTATGTGGTCACACAGGCAGGAGAAACCATGCTGTGCTGAAGCAGAGATCCAGAGGTCTGTCTCTGTGGCAAATGGGCAAGGCTCCTGAGGAGCAACCAGGTGACCGGTCAGGGTGCTTCCCTGTCCAGTCTTGGGATGCTCCTCCTTTTACAAGCCTCAAGTGAGGGGCTGCTTCATTTGGTGGTCTGGTGTTTTTGATAAGCCCGTAGCCTGGTTTTCCTGGTGTGAGTCTGACACACCCATGCATCCCTTGCTTGTGATGAATTTACAAGTGGTGCACGGGTGGTCATTCTTATTAGCATGGTTTCTTTATCAGTTTGGGCCTCATGGCTGTGCCAGGCAGGTGGTGACTGCTTACTTGTACAAATCAGGTGTGGAGTCATTCTTAAACTAAAAATAGAATTGCTCATGGTAAACTGCTTTGCAAAATGAAGTAACCCAGGTTTAGGCCTGAAAAGTCCTGTTCTGTACTTTAGCAGTAACCAGAAGAGGACGCAGCCTGTTCTCCACAGCTGGGCACACACCAGTACTTCAGATGCCTCACATAGGCTAAGGGGCAGCAAACAGGAAGATGCCCTGCATCTGCTCCAGCCGTGTCTGCCAGAATGCTGGACCTGAATGGCCCAGGAGGGCTGGAGAACAAAATGCCTTTAAAGTGCAAGACACCCTTAAACAATATGAAAACCAGCATGGAGGTGCCTCACAAGACTAGGAAGGGTGTCACCACATGACCAAAATATGCCACTTCTCAGCATTTATCCTAGAGAGGATAATTAAAGTTGGCATGCTCTAGTGAGACATGCATACCCACGTTTTAGCAGCACAATTCACAATAATCAAAATATAGAACCTGCCTAGGTGTTTGTCAGTGGCTGAAAGGCTCAAGAAAATGTGCTCTATCTACACAGAGGTTCTAGTCAGCCATAGAAAAGCATGCAGTTGTGCCATTTGCAGAAACATGGATGGAACTTGAGAGCATTATGTTAAGACAAATAAGCCAAACACAGAAGGTCAAGAGTGGTGTGTTTACTTTCATATGCAGCAGCTAGAGAGGAAAGAGAAGTAGAAAGTGGGGGTAAAGATCTCATGAAAATCAAAAGGCGTTCAGTAGAGGAAAGGGACCAGGTGGAAGGGTGCTAGGAGGGGAAAGTGCTGGGAAGGATACTGGCCTAATTATGTAGCTCCCACTGCCCCATTGTGGGAAGTATAATGTAATACAAAAAGTATTAAACATGTAAAAAGTTTGAACTTGATCACTTTTCTGAAACTGAACTCTGGGTGTGAAATCAGCTTTCCCATTAAGGAACAGAAATTAACAGTTCCCACCAGACGCCTGCCTATGTGCTGTCCAGCTGCTGACCCTCCTAAAATGTGGGCAGTTTTGTTAGCTCTCTTTCAGTCTGTGACTGAAGTTCACCCAGCGTTCATGAGATTAATCCCTGTGATTGCAGGCAGTATTAGAACATTCTGCATATTATGTAAACATGTCTCACGTGTTGCTATGGTAGCAGGTGCAAATATCCATGAGAGACACATCTCTGAGTCAAGCAAAGGTTTATTGACAGAGGATATCTCTCAGGCTGCCCTTGGCAAGGCGCAACAGTCTGCTAGAACAAACTTCCTAAGTATATATTCATGTATATGGAGTAATAAAAAATAACCTCTCTGGTTCTGTGATTGTTAATTATTACTTGTCGTCTTGATTGTGGTTTTGATCGTTGGGAACTCTTTCTTTGCTGGCAGGCTTAACAAGAAGGTCATGCCTTTGTGAACAGGTGCTGATTTTCAAAATGGAGTTACTTTGCCCTAAGGACCTAACCCGTGCATTTATCCATTTCACTCTCCCTGGGCTCTGGGTGGCTTCCATATTTGGGGGGCTATTGTACATCCTTTGGTGAACATCATGCACAGGTGTCTATTAGGAATCCACTCAATGGTGGCCATGCTGGGTTCAGGGCACAGATATGTTCAGCTCTCTTCACAGCTACTGTTAGGTAGGAGCTAGCAGTGGGCAGTGAGATGCATGGTAAGGTCACAAAGTGTTCTTTAACTTACCTCAGGGTCCTTCTTTAAACTATCTTAAGATATCAAATGGTGGCAGTTAATCTATAGAAAGCAAACAAAAGCAAGAGAGCTATTTGTAAAACACGAAAAGAGAAAAGGATTAATGGGACTAATTATTGACAGGGTCCACTGAGGTTGATGTGAAGCTAGGAATTATGGCCATAAGTGTCTTCAATTTTCTGGGATTGAAGATTCCATTAATAGCGCAGGCACACTAAGATAACTTCTGACCAGCTATTGACCCCAGTGCCCACATTAACATGGGATTGACTTGTAGATGAAACCCCCCTAAAAAGAATGGCCACTATAACAGTTCCAGAGAGGACCAAGTAAGATCCATAACTCCACCACCCAACATGAAGGAAGAGTTGAACACCAGACTGGCAGAGAGTACAGAAGAGGGCCCCCAGCTCTCCTAGTGAACATCAAACAGTAGTAAAATTGGGGACAGCGTTGTCTTCTCTGTCATTCTCTGCTTGGAGACAGCCCACTTTCTCCCTTGAGAGTACTCTCGGCTCAAGCTTCACTTTTGTTTTACTGTCACCTATAGTAAAGTACTCTTGCATGACTTTTGATGTCTGACTTTAAATTTTCTTTGGTCGGAACATAAAACTGAGATTGGGAGTTTTAGCTCCCTGCTTTCCTGGGACACTACCACACACAAACTGGCTGTGGTACTAAGTTACTCCCCTTGCTTTCCTGTTTGGGTTGCTCTCTTTTCATAGTCTTTACTATAACAACATTTCCTGAGTGCAGGTGCTTTGTCTTGCTCACAGCCATAAAGAATGTGAATAAATGCCTGACTCAGGGAGCTACATCTGCACACATGGTTCTATCATTCAAGGTCCTTTAGAGGCAGCAAGGTGTGGGTCCCCCGCACACACACATTACCCAGAGAAGTCCCTTGCTTGACACACACTGTACTGCACCTGCCTGCAAATGAGAACTCATGATCATGAAGCTGGGGGACAAAAGGTAGTCAATATAGATAATAAATAATTGTGTTCAATCAGGAAGGTTGGGGCTAGTTGGAAAGAAAATCAAATGCTGCCCTTTCCCCCTCCTCTTTCCAAGGCCCTTCCCCCTGCTCCTGCTCCAACCTGTTGCCGAGGTAACCTGTCCCAGGAATAGCTGTTCCTTGCAGGGAATCCTAAGAGTTGGCTCTTACCTTAATGCCTGAATCACTCCACCATTTGGCCCTCCCCTTGCCCATCTGGCCCTCACCATTTGGCTCACCCTGGCCACTGGTCATGGATGCAGGGTGGTGAGAGATAAGGAGGAAGGAAGGCATGAGGCAGAGAAAATTTAAGATGTACAAAGGGGCAGGACATTCCCACTTCTTTGGATACCGGCTATGTTCCCCTTCTCCCTCCAGGGAAAAGTCTGTTTCTGTCCTTGAAATAAACCTTGCTCTCTATACTCCCCTTGGCATTTCTCCAGTAACCAGAGGTATCAATAAGCGCTTCCTTCTCATGCAGAGCTTAGAGGATGATGAACTGACAGGCATGTGAGTCGTTACCTTTCACAGAGAGCCTGACCAGTGTGCTTCTAGCTATGCCCTTGGTTAAGTTCCTATGATGACACTTCCACCTGGACACTGGAAATTGAGCAAAGTCACCCCTTTTCCCCCAGAGTGAACTCCTTGTATAGGCACATGACGCACTTCTCATGGCCTGCCACATGTTTTTCGGGGGGGGGGGGGAATGGAACCCAGGGTATGATAGGTGAGCACCCCACCACTGAGCCATTTCCCAGCCCCTGCCACAGGCCTTCTGTCCTCAATTCCAACATCAGTGGGGGATGGAGAGGAACTCAGCTGACCTCTATCACCTGGGCAGGTTAACTGGCGATCACTTAATGCACTTGAAATGTAATTTGCCATCTCCCCATTCCAGGTTTGCATATTTCTCCAATGTTTTGAGACCCCTCCCACAGTATGCTCATGTGCCCTCTGGGCAGTGCCTTTTGCGTTCATCCATCAGCTGTAACTTATCAGATAAATCATTTTCATTCATGTGCTGCAAACAAAAATTAAGTGCTGAATTTTTACTGGAAATAATGAGCACCTAGTGATTGTGGTGCAGACAATGACCACTGGAGGAAACTGCCCAATGGCTCTTCTTACCACCTATGAATGAGCCCGGAAGGTTCTCAGAAGATGATGTTCCTCTTCTCTTTCAACAGTGAGCTAGACTTACACCCGATTGTCATAGATCTCAAAGAACCATCTTCCCTCCTGTACTCCCTTTATTTATTTAGTACCAGGGATTAAAGCCAGGGCCACTTAACCACTGAGCCACTCCCTAGCCCTTTTTTATTTTTTTCATTTTGAGACAGGGTCTCACTAAGCTGTTTAGGGGCTCCCTAAGTTGCTGAGACTGGTCTGGAACTTTCCATCCTCCAGCCTCAGCCTCCGTAGTTGCTGGGATTACAGGCAGTGCACTCCTCGCTACTGCCCATGCCATTGACGATTCCGAGTGGTTTAATATACCTCCAGAAGGTAAAACCCCAGGGGAAATTTTCCAACTTTTGTTTCTGGAAACCACTGGGTATTTATTTTGCATAAATGTGAACCAAGTAGGACAAAAAGGAGGTGTTAAGAACAGAAAAAGAGCTGAGAGAGGGAAGTACAGGGGACACACTTTCAAGTCAGCTGCTTTCCTCCTGCACAGCTGAACCCTTTCCTCCAGTTCATTCCTGCAGGGGGAGCCCGGCCACCAAGCCAGGGTTCCCATTGCCATCCACACGACCAGAGCTGGCAGTCAGAAGGCCTCTCGGGACACTCTTTGAGAGCCCCGGAGTCTCCGCAGGGCCCTCTGCAGAGCGCCGGCCACGTCCTTGTTCCTCAGGCTGTAGATGAGCGGGTTCAGCATGGGCGTGAGGATGGTGTAGAAGACGGAGAAGACTTTGTCCTGCGCTGGCTGGTGGTAAGCCTGCGGCACCATGTAGGTGTACATGGCGGCCCCGTAGAACAAGGTCACCACGATCATGTGGGATGAGCAGGTGGCGAAGGCCTTCCTCCTCCCCTCGGCCGAGCTCATGCGGTGGACGGCGGCCAGGATCCGCGCGTAGGAGGCGACCACCACCGAGGACGGCGTCAGCAGCATCAGCACGCAGCACGCGTACATCACCGTCTCGTAGAGCGCCGTGTCCGCGCACGCCAGCCTCAGCACCGCGGGCGCCTCGCAGAAGAAGTGGTCGATGTCCCGGGAGTCGCAGAAGGGGAAGCTCATGGTGATGGGCGTGAGCAGGAAGCCGTCCAGCGAGCCCCCCAGCCAGGACCCCGCGACGATCAGCCAGCAGACGCGGCGGCTCATGAGCACCGGGTAGCGCAGCGGGCTGCAGATGGCCACGTAGCGGTCGTAGGCCATGAGGCCCAGCAAGAAGAACTCGGCGCCCACCAGCGTCAGGTAGAGGAAGTGCTGCGCCGTGCAGCCCGCGAAGGAGATGGTCCTCTGGCCCCGCAGGTAGTCCACCAGCATCTTGGGCACGATGGTGGAGATGTACAGCATGTCGATGAGCGACAGGTGGCTGAGCAGGAAGTACATGGGCGTGTGCAGGCGCGCGTCGGCACGGATCAGCACGACCATGACCCCATTGGCCGTCAGAGCCGTGAAGAAGACGATGCAGACGACCGCGAAGACGAGGCCTCCAGTCTTCTCGGTGCCGAACAGCCCCCCAAGGGTGAAGTCCGCTGAGGACGTGTTGTCCCCTGCCATTGAGGCTGCGGTGGTGGGAGTAGCCCAACGTCTTCCAGATAGAAGGATGGCATTTCCAGGGAATTAAAACAAGAACATTCGGATTAGTGGTCAAGCATCGGACTTGGAAGAAACAGTCTAAAATGGCTTTCTTAATAGTTCAGAACTGATAAGCAACAACTAATCTGTATCAGAATGTTAATCTATACTGATTTTTAGTAAAGTTGATCATTATTAAGCCATAAATTCACTAACTATATTGGACAAAATGTCAGCAGATACTACTGTATGACGATAGTGCTTGTGTAACAGTACATAAAGATGTAACCTATGCTCTGCGGCAACTGAATGTACCATGGTTGTCGCTCCCTCTGTGTGTGTGTGTGTGTATACACATGAGTGTGAGCACACGTTAGCGCAGATCAACTGGGACTGTTGTTAAATGCCCCTCAGTCATGGTCAGCATAACCATCATCTTCAAATCGTCTTTATCTGCCTATGAGTTGTCTGTCTGCCATTCAGCCACATGGGTGGTAATCTCCCACTCAGTCCAGGAGTCATGGTCAACATCTCAAGGGTCACAGGAGTCATGTTCTACATCTCGAGGGTCAGAGGAGTCACAGGCTCCATCTTGAGAATACACTTAGTGTCAGTTCACCCACGTTGTCGGCAAATTGTGTGGGATGACTGAATGGGGGAATGTGAACCACTCTTGCAAATTCAGATGCAAAAGGATCATCTAATATAGGAGACTATTGCTCACTTTTCTTTGCTTATTTTTAAGACAGAAATGTTAATGTTAATTTCAGGATAATGAGGAATTGATATTAGGATTGAGAAGCATGAGAATTAGCAATTAGTGCTATCAAGAATGATTCAGAGTAAATACACAGGGAAATACATATTGAGCTATAAATCACATGCACTTCTGGAAATTTTAGTATTTTAAGTATTTCTTGATTAGGAAAAACTGAGTGTGTCTCTTGTAATTTCAGGTTTTGATGAAGAAAAACAAAGAAATCCCTTATGAAAGTAAAGAATGGCCTCCCATGTGTTTTAAGGCTGAATTCATGACAGATATTTCTCTGAACTGAGTTAATTTGACCAAACTAATCCACGGCTCCTCTAAACACTCCAAACCTGTGTTGGAGAGCCTCCGAGTCATTGACACTGAAGCACACCACTGAACAGTATTGACACCATTGTGAAATCACCCTGTGCCAAGCTGAGCTGAAGGATCTCCACACCTGTTGGCTCTTTGGTCTGCAGTCAACTCAGGAAGTGAGGAGCTGTAAAGCCCCTTTTCCACCAGTGACCAAGTGTCAGCAGCAAACCATCAGTTAGTGGGGGAAGGGTGCCCTGGGTGGTCTCAGTTCCCTCTGTGTTCTCACCCATCACACAGGACAATAGCTAGATAGTGATTGTAGCTATCAAGTAAAACATGAGAGCCAAGTGGTCTATTACATTTTTAGCTATATGTAATTGAACAGAGTCCCTTTAATTTTTATTTTTTTTTTATTTTTTGGTACTGGGGATTGAACCCAGGGACATTTTACCACTAGGCTGCATCCCCAGCCCATTTTAGTTCTTATTTTGAGACAAGGACTCACTAAGTTGCTAGGCTGGTCTTGAACTTGCCTTCCTCCTGCCTCAGCCTCCCGAGTTTTGGGGATTACAGGCATGCACCACTGCACCCAGCTAAAAGTAAAAGCAATTTCTGACAACTGTTTCTCTGTATCTGCTAATGTCCTCATGATGAGAGCCAAAAACTGAAAAACTAACTATGGCCCCTGGGGGCAGCCAGGAAACTGAGACTGCCATGATCTCTAGCCAGCCCAGCCAAAATAAATCTCTGCACCCAGAACTCCTGGCTTTGGTTCTATTAAGTTATGCTTCTATGGGACCAGGGAGAAATGACATAGCTGCTTCTCCCCAGCTTTGTCAAAGTGCACAAAATTCATTTTTTTCCTTTTGTAACATTTTCTTATACAGATGGATAATTGAATCCTGCCAATAGGATCCAGGCAGGGTCCCTGGCCGGGCTCCAAATAACATAATCATTCAATTGATCAGTGAAAATTATTCATAATTTAGAGATATCATAAGTTATTTTAATCAGAACTGCTGTTTCTTAAGAGTACAACCAATGTTGACCACATTTATTTATTTTTTCTAATTTTATAATCTTTAGTGCCAGGTTTCATAAATTTCCTTGATACTAGGTACAGTTTCATAATTATTTACAATCGGTCTTATTTTCTTTTTGCATTCTCTAGCCATCATTAATGGAGCCCATTATAATACATATGTGAAGGGAAATGCTGTCCACTCATGGGATGTCCTAGGCAGCAGTCTTGGTTCACTTAAGTCCTATCATACACTAAAACCTCAATAACACAGAGAACTGAGTGTTGTAGTGTACTCAAATGCCATTCTCTGCTCTGTTCCTACTCACTCCTAAATATTCTTTAAAACTTTGTCTGCTATGCCTCCTTTTTCTATGCCAGCTTGCTGTGTGTGCCTAGTGGTGAAATGCCAGGGCTAATTCTAAGGACTGGTCCTTTCTCCAGCTTGACAGTCTTCTGCTGCTTGCTCACAGAGGTCTAACTTGTCAGAGAGCAGACTTCCTCAGTGTGAACTGGGACTCTAAATCAAACACCTGGTTAGATCATACACTCTGGGGGAGCAGAGGATCTGCACTGGTTGAATAGCTGGGTGTCAGTTGCATCTTTTGATGTGGCTTAGTATTTAAGAATGTATCAGGAAGCATCTGGAGTGAGCCCCTTTACACAGGGATCCACTCCTGTAGTCAAGGAGCAGATGTGCAGTGAGACAGAGTCAGCATTAGATGAACCAAGTTCTTCCATTGTGACACTGATGAATCCTGTGGCCTTGGACTCCCCTCAAACACTATGAACCTGGTACCTGCTCCTATTAGGTTGGGATCACAAAATATTCAGGCTGATTTAGGATTAAATTAAGAAATTTTTACCTACAGGTGAAAATATTTCCTACAGTGGAAAGTAAAATGTCAGTGTTATACATATGTGTGTGAATTATTTCAAAACTGTTAGTAAATATGTGAGAGTCTCCAGTCTCTTCATTGAAGCAATCAACATATGCTACTAAGATGCATGGATTTGAATTGCAAATACCTGCTGTTCTTCAGGTATGTAAACCCAGACAATCCAGAGAGTGAAGAAACGTCCACAGTCAGATCCTGTAACCTTTTCCACAGAATATTTCTTTACTTGAAGGAAATGGCATTTCACAGAAATTCTCAGGAAACTGAATATATTGTTATTAAGCCTGAAGAAAATCTGAATGTCTTTCAGGGGCATATATATGCTCAACCTGAAAATAACAAGAACAAGAGAAAAAACATACAGGACAACATTGGCAAGAATTTATCTGATAAACCTCTCAGGCTGACTTCAATTACCTCTCATCACACAGTGCCACATACTGGGGAAGGGAATGCATGTGTTCCACCCCGACACCCACAGATGGCCACTCCTGCTTCACAAGGGACACATGGCTGCTTGAGCTCCTGTGCCACAAATTTCTTCCTCCCACGTTGCTGCAATTGGAAGTTGTAAGGTCAGGCATGGGTGACCAAAAGGAGGCAGATTAAAAGGCTGCTGAACGAGGCTTTATTGAGATTCACTCCCAGGCGAGACCACCCAGTCCAACAGAGCCTATCTGGGGAATCGCGTGGGGCTCAGCCCAATTGGAATTTTTATTGTGCTTAGGGCAGGAAGGGAGGGTTTGGGACAGGAAAATGAGGGCTTGAGACAGGAAAGGGAGGTTAATTTTGGAGTCCCTTGTCCTACAGGAGTTGGTCTGGGGAGCTTGCAGATTTCTTCCCTTTGAATGTTGAACGTTCATAATGTGAGTACCACTGCAGTCACCCTGTGTTCTTTGGCAGGTTCTGCACCCCCAATTCTTACGTGCATTCATCTATGGCTTCTTTGCCAAAGTCCTCAAGTCCTGGTACTTAGAATGGTTTCTGCAATGTTCAGTTTAAGATGCAATCACAACAGTTAGCTGTAGGTGCAGTTTTCCAGTACTGAAAAATTTCCTTGATTCTAGATATAGTTTCATAATTACTTTCAACCGGCCTTATTTTCTTTTTGCATTTTCTAGCTGTCATTAATGGAGCCCATTATAATACATAGGTGAAGGGAAATGCTGTCCGCTCATGGACAGCATGAGAACATTATTTTCTGTTTTGATGTAGACACATCACATCCTTGATTCATTATTTGCACATGAAAACAGTTATCTTCACAGAAAAGTTGTGTAATTGTTAAAATTACAGAGTTGTGTAATTTTGAGACAAAATATAAATACATGTTGCTAAGGTTACAGGGGACTCCGTAAAACAAAACTTACCAACAAAACACAGGAACCTCGTGCACCTACACTAGGGTAAGAGAATGAAGAGACTTTTCAAAAAGAAGAGGGAGTTCTTTGGTTAGAGGAGAAAACGGTACACTCAGAGGTCATAGTTTGTCCTCCACTTTATACTGAGAGGAATTCACAGTTGTGAGAGTCCTTCAAGGTCTGGTTCATCCAGTGTTGTCAGGGTGCAGGACAAAACACGAGAAGTCTCCAGCCTCCTAAGAATGTTGATACACTTGCTTCCCATCTTCACAAGGAAATAGCACATAAAGGGATGGAGGGTGGTAAAAGGAAAAAAAATTAAAAAGCATGAAAAAAAGTCTCACTTATAAATGCTGAATTCACCTGGATTTTCTGCATTAGGGGACCCTGGCATGACAGGGAGTGCTCAGAGTGAGAGGGGACAGGAGTTTACATAGTTTTCTGAGAAGGCACGGAGAGCTCCTGGGCCGAACAATTCTCTCCCTGCTGACCTCAGGAGCCCGAGACACACTTGTCACAGTTAATGAGCCTGGCACCCCTGGGAGTGCACAAGTGGCCTCAGAGTCACACGGGCTTTGAGAACAGCACTTCTGCTGGGCTCCAAAGTATCAGACTCTGTTTCCTGAGCACTTCATCAGAATATTCCCTGGCAGCTCTTCCTCACAGAGAAATGTGAACAAAGGTGAAAAAGCTACTTAAACATGCAAATAAAGACTTAAGACTGAAAATATCCCAAATTGGTTGAAAAAATACTAACCTACATATCCAGAAAATGAAATAAACTCCAAGTAGGATAAATGCAAACAAATATCTACATCCAGACACATTGGAGTCAAGGTGTTGGAAGCCAAAGGTAAGAAAATCTTGGAACCTGTCAAGGAAAACAATTTATCACACACAAGTGAAACCCAGTGAGATTGACATCTGACTTCCCATTACCCCCGGGAGAGACGATCAAAGTGTTGACAGCAAAAACCCTTGACTCCACAAAAATACTTCCATATTTCTAACATGACAGGCAAATAAAGATATTTTCCAGGAAAACAAAAACTGATAACATTGATTGTTGTGACCTCTCTTTTAATAAATACCAAAGGAAGCTCTTTGGACTGGGAGTAGGTGGCCCCAGACAGTGATCTGAGCTCATACCAAAGAAAACAAAGTAGGCACTTCCATAAGTAATCAGGAGATGGTCTATCTGCATATTGCATTTTCTGTGTTCTCCAAGATGCCATGAAACAATTGCAATAGAGATGTTCAAATTTGCACTTGCTCATTGTGTCTCCTAGTTTCTTTAAAATACATTATAGGGTATTATAGGGTAATACCCAAAACAATGCTTTGTTGTGCTTATAATATACAAAGATGCAATATGCACAACATGCTAGCCCGGGAAAGGGCCAGACTGCATGGACCCAGGAAGGGCCAGGTTTCTCTCCTGGAACCAAGTGGGACCACAGTTGGAGCTGGTATTTTATTTTTCTTTCTGAAGTTGGTTTCCTTTTTAGTCTGTTAATTTGGTGGAATACATTGGTTGAATTCCTGATGCTGACCAGCTTTGCATTCTTAGAATAAACCCTACTTGGTCATGATGTATAATTATTTATACATATAGCTAGACTCAGTTTGCTCGTATTTTGCTGAGATTTTTGAGTCTGAGTTCAGGGGGTTATTGATCCATAGTTTTCTTTTCTCTTTTTATATTGCTTTTATCTGGTTTTGGTCTCCTGGTAATCTTGGTCTCATAAAATGAGTTAGGATGTGTTACCTCTCTTAATGTCTGGAAGAAATTGTGTGGAATTTCTTTTAATTCCTCTTTAAATGTGTGTGTGTGTGTGTATATATATATATACCCAATCCGTAACTATTGTATATCTAACAACCTCTGTCTATTAAAAAACACAAATTCATACTGATGCCTCTAATTTCAACCCAACCACAAGATTTATTCTGGCCTTCCCCCCTTTCCAAATCTGTAACTCTCCTCACCAACAGTGAGAGACCTGCCTCTCAATGCACTAGCTTCTCTTACTTTCCCAGTAAGTAACCCATCTCCTGACCCCCCTGGCTACGTCCAAGGGCACCTCCATGACCTCTACTCTCTCAGCCAGATCTTTAGCCATCTGTTCAACCCCATCTCTATCCCTTAAATTACATTTTAGATAAAAATACACTTAAAATATAGTGGCCAGCAGCATCTATAAAATTACTAATTTTAATAGTTTATTTGAATATTCTTTGAATCTTCTTCATGTGCAATCATATTTTATTTCTTCATTTTTTTTTAATTTTTCTTGTCAGGACGCTGTAAAAGGCCAATGGAAGGCATATGTTTGTT